TCCGCCATCTGCACAACTGGGAGAGACTATCTGCAACTATTGACCCATTATTGGGTGTTGATCTCACGGTTGCTATGAACTTGGCAGTATATACTCTGTCTCTTATACACATCTAGATGTGTATAAGAGACAGGCCCCCACAACCCCCATCCCCAAAAGTTTCTCAGCAGATTTGGGCTGTACTCAGCAAGCGCAGTACAGCTTCCAACTCAGATCTGAAAAAAAATAGTGGATGGCTGTTTTCTGACTGGCTGGCAGACCGTCGACTCGTCTGCAATAACCCATGCCATATGTCTCGTGGAAAGACTGAGGGCCAACTCGGCCGCCCTCAGTCCAGGCCAAAGCGGGGGTAAAAAGGACCCCATACGAGGATTCAGGGCCTGGACGTGAGACAGTTGACTTTGGTCAACTGCCGTGACCCCAACAGTCAAAGTCCAAAGGTACCTAGCCCAGGCCGCTGGTCAAGCACACACACGTGTTTGTATGCAGGTACCCAGACAGCATCAGGTCCAAGGGAGAAGTCTGCAACTGCACAATCCGGGCCCTCAGCTATGAGTCAATCCGGACGACTGTGGGGAAAGCTCCCGAGGCCAGACAGCCTCGACAATTGCTACTTAAGGCTGGCCTCGAGTGAGTCAAGCATTCAGTCTTGCTATGCTGCTTCGACGCTGGCTCGACTCTGACTAGACGCTGGCATTATGCTGGCTCAACGCTGGCTGTGCACTGGCGATGCGGACGACGGCACGAGGTGGAGGCAGCATGCTGGCACTTTCTGCATTGTGTGCCAGGCTTGCTGAGGTGGCAAACTGATGTGGCGCTACCTCTGGTCTACATTGCATGCTGATGTGGCGCTACCTCTGGTCTACATTGCATGCTGATGTGGCGCTACTTACAGTCTACATTGCAGGTCTGAAGGGATTATTATTGTGTGATCTTTCATCTTCTCCTTTGACTATTCCCCGTCCACTCTCTTCTTTTGATGGTAATGAGACACTGTTTAAGATATCACTTCACGATTTGGAGACTTTGATGCAGATAATGAGGCTACTGATGTTTGACGACTTCTGAGTATCTGCCAGACTGGGGTCATTACAGGTCAGGCCTACTGGTCGGCTGCAAAACGGTTGCGGTCGGTGTCGGCGGTGGGCAGCTATGCAACTCTGATGTTACGTAAAATAATAATACAAACAACTTTTGCCTGGGAGGCATGTTCAAATTCTTAGCCAAACACGATTTAAAAATAAAAAAACCTGAAAAAAATGTGATCCCTCCCCCCCCCGTGTTCGGGCGTTCGTGAAAGCCGCGAACACGTTCGGTGTGCTACACAGCTAGATTCCTCTGCAGTTGGTAGACATGACAGCGCCATATTTGGAGCGTGCACAGCGGACATTTCCGCCAGATTGCAAACACGCAAACTCCACTGGATGCTTCGCTCCATAGTATCTATCACACACTCACACACACGCACACACGGTGGAAGTCCACAACACACACACACACACACACACATTCTATGACCCATGTGGCCAACCCAACCTGCCCACCAAGTCCATGGCATTGCCAACAAAACCAAACCCCACAGGCCAATAAAGCTCCCGGACAAGCCACCCCAAGCACCCAGCTCATTACACCTATCCTCCTAACAGCACTGACACACACAAAGGTCATTGTGGGCGAGCCGGCAGGCAGACAGATCGACAAAGCAGAAAAGAGTCATAACATAAAACATCAGGCAATCACCAAGCGATAGCTCCTCTGTGCTCAACTTCCAACTCAGCCAGCTCCATTGTAAACCCTAACAAGAAAGGTTTGCACTTTGACGGCAAGGACGTACCGGTGAGGGTGCAGCTAACCACTTCACGAGTATTGCTGGTTCTTGTCTCCACTTGTATTCACAATGCCAAACATTGACAGCTCGGGCCACATTTGCCCCACCCTGCGATGACCAAACACAACCCCCACACATTTACAATTCCAGTCGTCAGAGACGTAAGGCAGTCCCCGGTGTATCCAGCCAATATCCTAGGGACTCCTTTATTCTGCCATTCCCGATAGTATCTCTCTTGCCGTTGATGGCAAATGCATGTAAGGAGAGATGTTTGAGATGGACGTGACGCGGAACAAGGAATTGCCTTCTGCTGTTTCCCCCCATGCCTTTCTTGCCCGTACCAGAGATAGTGTTGCTACACTTTCTTTAACTAAGTTCTTTTGTTTACTTTTTGTTGCTGCATATTGCCATATACCCACTTTTCAGCAGGATTTCTTGCCTCTGGTAAACGTCGGGTAAAGCACACATTTACCATACTGTCGAAAGGCAGAAGAGCAGTATCTACTATCTTGTGCTTTTCTTTTTTTCTATAACAATCTTACTAAAGGCAAAAGCGGTCCTAGAGTAATGCGCCCCCACCAGCCCAGTGAAAATCGAAACGACAGGCAGTACCGTCCCGTCGGGAGCCCGTGGGGGAAAAGTGTCGAAAGGGCCTTTACAAAAATTCAGGTAGGGCCAGTCCGCGGGTGCATGGTTCCGTGGGAAGTGTGGAATCCGTGGGCGCATGTGGTTTTCTTGGTTTTCACGGCGGTTTTCGTTTTGTTGTTATCTTGGTTTTCGTGGGGGGCGCCGCTCCACTACTCACCACACGTGGTGTATCTTTCCATGTTCTATTGGAAGATTCTCATTTTTGACATTTGTGGTGAGTAGTGCGGCGCGGCACGAGGCCCAAAGTCCCCAGCGCAGCCTGACAACCGTTTAGTCGTTTGAGGTCTCCAAGGGCCTCGCTCCACTACTCACCACATGCACAAAAGGCAACAAACATTGCAGTGTATCTTTCCATCTTCTACCAGAGGATTCATTCTCAGTGCAGCGAGGCCCGAAGTTCCCCCGCATGGCCTGACAACCTTTGGGCAAAACGTTCGAAGATGCGCTTTTGGGCTAGTTGCACTACTAGCCATCCGTCACAATTCGTGGTGGATGCGTGGAGAGTGAAAAAAAATGAGAATCGTGTCGAACTCGAGGCCTGGTTGCACTTACTTGCCACTATATCTTCTACAGAAAAGTAAAAAAAAAAATGTCTACCTGATGTCGACTCGTGAAGCCGTGCAATCTCCAGAAAGTTGTTTTGTGAAGAGGTCCGAGGACCACCCTCCACAAACCGCCGTGTACAGCCTGGGAAACCAAAAACACTCGCCACAACTTGTGTCGACGGTGTGGCGAGCCGTCTTTCATTTGCCAAGTTTGGCGAGTAAGTGGAACCAGGCACCTACTCGCCAAACTTGGCGTATGGAGAGTAGTGCAACCAGGCCCTTTCCATGGGCCAAGAAGACTTCTTTTGGGCCTCGCTCCGCTACTCACCAGTTGCACAAAAGACAAAGTATGGCAGTGCTTCTTCCACGTTCCAGCGGAAGATTCGTTCCCATTTGGCACAGCCAGTCCCCTCGCGTCATTTCGCTTTTCTGAGTTTTCTCCTGTTTTTTTTGGTTCTCTCCTACGTGTCGTTTCGAAGACGCGCTTTTCCATGGGCCTCACTGCAGCACCCACCACATGCACAATGGAAGTGCACTTTTCCACGTTCTAGCGGAATATTCGTTCGCATTGGCGAGTTTGTCCAACAAAGACTTCTTTTGGGCCTCGCTCCGCTGCTCACCACATGCACAAAAGACAAAAATATGGCGGTCCATGTTCCAGTGGAACATTCATTCTTTGCACATTTGACGAGTAGTGGAGCAAGGCCATTTTGGCTTCGGCAAATCGTTTCTCCACATGCTCTTCCACCCTCCTCTGTCACTTCTCTCTCGGCTCTGCTTTTCACTCATTGGGTCTCGCTGCACTACAGTAACTCTCCACATGCACAAAAGACAAAAAAGATGGCAATGTATCTTTCCATGTTCTAGCGGAAGATTCAAGAGGCCCATTGGGTCTCACTGCACTACTCTCCACTCTCCAAATTCGGAGAGTTTCTCATCACTGCACTAAACCTCCAATTCCCCCCCCCAAGAATCCTTGGATAGCTGTCAGAAACCACACGCTTGAAAAGCACTCCCCGGTTGGAGAGTGCCCAGCCTGTGAAATTCGCTAGACGGAGAGTCCTTTCAGGAACTCATGGTGCGACCCCAAATTTGGAGAGTGTGCCTGGAGTCTGGGCCGACAAAATGCTCATGCGCCGTGTCTTTTAGTGCTGTCACGGCATCCGGTAATGCACTCGCGAATTGGAGAGTACGCAGAGAGTGGAGAGTGGAGAGTGGAGAGTGGAGAGTGGAGAGTGGAGAGTGGAGAGTAAGTGCAGCCATGAGCCGAAAATCGTGAATCGGAGAGTCTGACAGATCTCCACGTACTCTCCAATTTCACGGAGAGAGGAAGTGTAGTGCAGCGAGACCCATTCTTTGCCTTCACAAATCCACTCCCCAAACTGGGGCCACCAGCGAAGCCGTGGTCGGTCCACTGGTTATTATTCTGATAAAAAAAAATGGACCACTTCTCAATTAATGCACGCCTTCCTTGGGCACTCGCGAATTGGAGAGTACGCAGAGAGTGGAGAGTGGAGAGTGGAGAGTGGAGAGTGGAGAGTGGAGAGTAAGTGCAGCCATGAACCGAAAATCGTGAAATTGGAGAGTCTGACAGATCTCCACGTACTCTCCAATTTCACGGAGAGAAAAAAGTGTAGTGCAGCGAGACCCATTCTTCGCCTTCACAAATCCACTCCCCAAACTGGGGCCGCCAGCCAAGCCGTGGTCGTTCCACTGGTTATTATTCTGATAAAAAAAAATGGACCACTTCTCAATTAATGCACGCCTTCCTTGGGCAGGGGCAGCCATGGTAATCTTCATTCTCTGTATCGTTTCAATTTTAGCGGATGTCCCAGAGGACCTATATCTTGTGCTTTTCGATTATAAAATCTTTTCTACTACTCCAAAGTGAAAAGCAGGTCTCACGTGGGGCTGCCTGTGAGGGACCGCAGAGACTGGCTGGGCCCCTCAGGTGGCCCATCAGTTGTTGCAGCGACACAACTTTCCTCTAGCCTCTTGGTCGTTTTCCTGTCCGTTGCAATGACGAGCTTGCAAGAAGCCCAATTTTATTTTGGGTCACAAAAGGCTGTGTAATGTGGTGAAGGAACCATAACGCCTCAGAATTATGACTGCGTTCATAATGATGAGGCCTGTGCACACTGATTTCTTTTGAAGGACGCACCAAAGGGTGACACGCAGACTGTTTTATATGTTACACGTGAAGTCCACGCCATGAACACAATGCCCCAGCATCATAACTACATTTAGACTGCTTTGTACTCGTTCACAGTGATGGGTCGTTTCTGGCACTCAGATTTTCTTTTTAGCTGCAAAGGCCGCAGCTCAAACATAATGCCCCCTCTTGATGATGATGATGATACGCAATGTGTGGTGGCGCCAGCAACCTGATGACGATGACACCCACGTGTTAGGGACGACGAGGAGCAAAGACATTATGAGTTGGAGGTAATCCAGATGACGATAAGCAATATGTGATGATGCCAGCGGCATGATAGTGATGATGACAATGGGGAGGAGGAGGAGGAGGAAGTTGACGACGGTGTGGAGAAGAGTGACGAGTTGATGGTAGTGATGACAATCGCGAATTGTGAAGACGACCATCCCAAAATGAAATGAAGTCCCAAGGATCTATGATGGTAATAAATATGGTGAAAGTAACCGAAGCATAATGGTACACAAATTTCACAAAACCATTTGAAGTGTACTTATTTGCTTTGCTAATTTTTGAAACGTGGTGGAAATTCCGCCACCTGCATTTGTTTTGTACTCGAGCAGATGCGCCGCACCCGATCCATCGCCAGAGTGGAGCCAAAGGCCAATGGGAAAAAAAAGCAGAGGCCTCTCTTACTTGACATTTAAGGTCGACGGACGATTCGTACATGAGAATAGACTCAACTCATTCTCGGCGAACTTATAAATAAGAAATAACGCAGGTAGGGATGAGTCATAATAGCTGTATCTAGACTGAAAGATGCCTCAAATACAGCTATAATGACCGTACGTTGTATTCCAGGGAAGAAGGTAGGTGTAAGGCTGACGACGGCACAACCTTGGTTGCTGTTGCAACCGTGATAAGTGCAGACTAGATTAGCCGTGGTAGTCGCATCAGCTGACATAGCTATGGTAACCATAAATAACTGTGCTAACCATAAATAACTGCTATGGTAACCATAAATAACTGTGCTGACCAGGATAACTGCTGCCAACTGTGGTCATTGGCACATTGCGGCACATTGCGGCACATTGCAGCAATATAGGGAGTGCGATAAAGTGAAGTTGGTGCCGTAAAACGAGTGGTAAATGCAACAAGTGTGAGGCCTCAAGTGCAGCAAATTACTGCGATAATGTGGTGGGATTGCAAACAAGAAGAAGCAGAAGTGAAATGCAGAAAGGTTTCAAGGTAGGAAGATGGAAACCTGGCAAATGCCTGGAATACACAGCACAGTGAGCACACACAGATAAAACACATGAGGACAGGATCAATTTGTTGGAAAACCTGACCATGGGAAAGATGGAATGACAAGGACAGGTTGGTACTATAGGTCACCATGACTAGGTAGGTTGCACAAGTGATATGCGTCCTGAGCGACTGCCAGGAACCCCTTCCCCCCCCCCCCCCCCCCTCTGCAGCGTGCCTGGGTGCTGCCAGTAAGTTTCCCGACTCGCAGGTTAATCCCTGAGGAAGGGTTGAAGATTGGGAGGGGGGTTGAGCCGAACCACTTCCCCCTTGCTTAGGGGGCTTGAGCCACAAGGGCAGGCTGACCCTTTTGTTTGTCTTATCTCCCCCGCTGCTCTTTCAAAAACATTCGCTTGCCGGTGATAAGCAACCGGACTGATGCCCCCCAAAACAGAAGGGTTTTTTTTTTTTTTTTTTTAATGCAGAAAAGCTAATAATCACTACCAATGTGAAAAAAAACTTTCGCATCTTCGGTAGCGGTTCAACCCTGATCACCTTCAACACTGAACTGCTCATCATGGCTCTGGAAATGACAGCCAATGGATATAAGGAACTCCATTGACTGAGGGATCACAAAAAGCAGAGCAGACTAGGTAAACAAGAGATAACCGAGCGGACCTGTGATGGCTGTGTCCAAACACTTCCACAACCTTTGCTATCCATAGTAAGCAGGGCACGGGGGCAGCTAAGAGGCGACCATGCCAGGATCTGCATAGTTGACGAAGGAGAATCTGTATACACACAAAATTGCAAACACAGATGCACCAAAGTCCAAACAAAGAAGAAAGAAGAGAGAAGAGAGGGGAGGGGGAAAAGAGAGCAAGTGAACAGAAAATTGGGAAGAAATAGGGCAACGGCATTCCAAGCCACAAGGGAAAGGAGGAGCACAATTGAACAAATGGAAGTTGAGTCAGAGGCAGGTGTCGCCAAACCGCCAACACAGCAAATTGTGTGCCGTGCACGAGCACCACCACTACTGTCAGAGTGTCACTATCATCTTCCCTCGACCACACCGAACCTGCATCATCATCGTATGGGCCGGGAAAATAGCTTGTGTGCACTTGTAATGAGAATGGGTTGTGTTTAAACTTCAAAGGAAGGCAGCACCAACGTGTTTGACTTTCACCATCTCCTGCTGCATATTGCTGACCGGAATTGGTTAGAGAAGAACATTGCAGGTGATTTTTTTCACTCAAGAAGGGGATCCAAACAAAACACGCAGATAGAGTTAGGCAAGAAGAAATTATTGAACTGATGTTTTCACCGCGTAGTACGCGTACAGGATTTCCCACACATATACGGCGACAAGGCAAGAAGAAATTCTCAAACTTGTGTTTTCACCAAGCGGTACGCGTACAGAATTTTCCACACATATCTGGCATTGCGTCCTGTCTCAAGACATGCCAGATAAGATTCAATTCGGAGTGTGGAAAGAGAGAGGCATTCGTTGAAGTATGCAAATTGGGATTCATTTGAAGTGCCGGACTTTAGGTGAGGAAGTCATTGTCTGGTTCCTTCTTTCTGGAGACGTCAGTGCAGCCATAGCTTGCCTCGAGCTTAAGTGAAATTCAAGCCTGAAGATTTCACCGTCCGATTCAATCTTTCTGGAGACGTCAGTGCAGCCAGAGCTGCCTAGATCTTCGTGAAATTCAACACAGAAGATTTTTGCCATCCATCTTCTGCATCCACAAAATACTGAGGACACATGCCATGTTCCTGACATGCCAGCAGGAGGGCAGGCTCACATTCACACTATTCAAGCATGGCATGTCAAGCACAACGGCAAGCAATAAGTGGATGGAGGGGGTCAGTGCAAGACAACAGGTCACAGTTTTCATGTGAGAGTGTGGCAGTAATCATCCCTTCATAAGTCATAATGTTTGTAGCAGAGATTATGCCATGCACATGCTAAATAAACTCTGCACGTATGGAGAGACAATGGCACGGCGCAGCCACCATCCTCTCACGGTGCCCCCTCACCATCAGTGGCAGAATCCGTGTGCGCTGTAAACTATCACCACAACAACCCCTTTTCCACCCAAATGAGCAGATCCAAAATTAAACAGCTTTACCTCTATAGCAAACAATGAAGCGCACAAAGATGAGAAAATTCATAGCTGCAATCAAAACTGATTGGCATGCAAAGGGCCTCAAAATCCACAGTTGGAACGTTAACCGCCTCACCGCCTCGGCGACATACTTACCGAGGAAGACAAACTATGTCACATTCGGATAGACCTGACAAACAAAGACAAATCAAAAGATTCAAAACCTGATCTGGTCTTACTCCAGGAGACCCACCTGTCAAATCTCACTAACCACGCCAGAATTAAAAAGACAGTAGTAAAAAGCTTAGGAGGCTGTTACATGCTGCGCCTGCACACGGGGCCCGTTTGAGGGGCCCGACGGTTGCTAAAGGGACCCCAGGCCGCGCGCCATCCAGCGCGCACCCTGGAGGCCCACGGCGACCTTTCAGGCCGCAAGTACGGTTCAGGCACCGTTTCCGACTTGCAGGCACCAAGGCAACACTTGGGCCAGGTACCTCTCGACGGTACTGACGTCGTTTCTGACTGCAGGCACCAAGGCAGCGCCTTGGGCCAGGTACACAGGAATGAGGCCATCCGCAGCACAGTCTGGACACCCGGTAGGGGCCCAGACCGGCTGGGCCATTTCGAGGCCAGAACCAGGCAGACCCAGCCTCGCCCATCGCTATATATAGCTGGGCAGCGGCTGGGTACAGACATTTCGGTACCTCACTTCTTGAGCGACACGCTGCTGGATGGAGGCTGCGCTATTCTGGCGCAGCACTGCGAACCTAGGGAGTAGAGGTTCTGGTGGTAGGGAGAGAGAGAGGCGGAGGCCTACCTAGCGCCATAGCTGGGCTCTCCGTGATACCTGCAAAGGGCAGCCACACAGTCAGTTCGGTGGCAGCTACCTACAGGTGAGACAGCGAGGAGGACGACATCTTCCTCTTCCTCCTCGTCCTCCATCTCCTCTCTCTCTCTCTCTCTCTCTCTCTCTCTCTCTCTCTCTCTCTCTCTCTCTCTCTCTCTCTC